CAATTGGATGTGCAGACCCACATGTAGTAAATATTACATGAGGGCACAGCACCTGGCCATGCACTTCAGATTCAGACTCCTAAGAGAACGTCCGCCCTCTTCTATGCTCCAGACAGGTGTACTGGTACTCCTCCAAGAATCTTCAGGAGGATGACTGACATATCAAAGCTACCCAGTTCTCAAAATCTTCTCCACTGCCATCACCCTAATCCAAGCCCCCCTCGTCTCACACTTGGAATACTTTTCCTTGGCCTCCCTGCTTCCTTTCTTGCCATCCTAGAATCCATTCTCTACCCAGCAACCCAGAAGGTTCTAAAAGATATATCAGACCACTAACTCTTCCACTTAAAATCTCCTCCAATCATTTTTACGTACCCACAGAAAACAATGCAATCTCCTTCCCACAGCTTGCAAGCGCAAGGCTCTCTGTGAGCTCCTTCCAGTTTATTTTTTCTGACCTCCTTTTGTACCACACCTCTCCTGGCCTACCTGGATCCAGCCCAGTGAAGAGCTTGCTTCCATCTCAGGCCTTTGCACTAGTTGGTGTCTCTACCTGGAATACTTTCCCAGGGTCTTCACACAGTTGACCCCTGCAGATCTCACTTTAAATGTCACTTTTCAGAATGGTCATACCTGATCACCCTATTTTAACCTAGTTGTTGGCAGTCCTTCCTTATTACTCTCTCTCATACATTATCTACTTCATTCTCAGAACTCAATAATTAACTTCAGAAATTAATCATGTTCTTTCTCAGAAGTTATCTTATTTACTGATTGATCACAAGCAGGAGTCAGGCCTTCCTCTGCAGTTTATTGTTGTAACCAGCACCTGGCATGGTGCCTAAAAGGTATGGTATTTGTGGGCCTATCACATATATCACTCTCTTCTGCTTGATTTTTACCAAAAGCTCAGTTGAGGAAAACTATGTTTATAGAGAATTGCCTGAAGAAGTTGTAGTTTGTCCTTTCCTCTATGGTCTAGATCAGCAGTTCTCAACCTGTGGGTTGTGACCCCTTTGGGGGTCAAACGACCCTTTCACAGTGGTCGCCTAAGACCATCGGAAAACAAAAAGATATTTACATTATGATTCATAACAGTAGCAAAATTACAGTTACAGAGTAGCAACGAAAATAAATTTATGGTTGAGGGTCACCACAACATGAGGAACTGTATTAAGGGGTCGCGGCATTAGGAAGGTTGAGAACCGCTGGTCTAGATATTCTTAAAGCAAACAAATCTCACTCTGAATTAAGGCAGACCACCAGAGCTATTCACCTAAACATCGTCTATTGGCTCTAGAATACTTTCTAAATTGTGATTTGGCCTTCTTGACCTAGTAAGTGATGTGCTAAGAAACAGCCCAATGATCCTCAGTGCCGAAAAGAAGTTAAGGCTATGACACTGGCTTTTCTTTATAAGGGCCCCAAAGATAAGCTTTTTCTGTTTAAGTCAGAAAAATCTTCTTGTCCTGGGAGTCTAATGTTGCCTTCTCTTATAAATACTAGGTCACAGAATGGACTAGCTCCTGCCTCTTGGTTTGGGCTGCAGCTTTCTTAAGAAATGTACTGGACTTTACCCCTAGCGTTTTGAGGATCACCCCCACTTCTAACTTCCTCTTGTGTTTCCTAGTCTCCATGTTCTTTGTGCCCTGTTTCCTCATTCATTTATTTTATGTTTATTTATTATGGTGACTGCCTTAAATATTTTCTAGATAAGCCAGATAAGTCAACTGAATATTAAAGGCAATAGAAGCAATATGCATAAAATAACATAGTTAATGGGTGAAAGATCAACTGGTTCTACAAAAGAGAAAAGGGGAATAGACGAGGTAGGTCTTGAAGAATAAATGGGCTGTCACCAGGCAGAGAAATGCAATCTGTGCAGATTAAAGACAGGAAGAAGGAATGGGGTAAAGACAGTCTATACAGTAAATGGTGCTGGAAAAACTTAACAGATACATGCAAAAAAATGAAACTAGACCACCTCACACCATATACAAGAATAAACTCAAAATGGATTAGACTTAAATGTAAGACCCAAAACCATAAAACTCCTAGTAGAAAACATAGGCAGTAAACTCTCTGACATTGCTTTTAGTAATATATCTTTTTTCTGATATATCTCCTTGGGCAAGGGAAACAAAAGAAAAAACTACACAAATGGCGCTACATCAAACAACAAAGGAACCATCAACAAAACAAAAAGATAACCTACTGACTGGAAGAAGATATTCACCAATGGTACACCCGATAATGAATTAATATTTAAAATTTATAAAGAACTCATACAATTCAACATCAAAAAACCAAACAATCCAACTAAAAAATGGGCAGAGGACCTGAACAGACATTTCTCCAAAGAAGACATACAGCTGACCAATAGACATATGAAAAGATGTTCAATGTCATCAATCATCAGAGAGATGCAAATTACAACCACAATGATACCACCTCACTCCTGTCAGAATGGCTATCATCAATAAGTCAACAAACAACAAGTGTTGGCGAGGCTGTTAAGTAAAGGGAACCCTGTGCACTGTTGGTGGGATTGCAAATTGGTGAAGCCACTATGTAAAATTGTATGGAGGTTCCTCAAAAAGTTACAAATAGAACTACCTTAGGATCCAGCAATTCCACTTCTGAGTATTTAGCCAAAGAAATCCAAATCACTAATTCGAAAAAATATATGCATCCCTGTGTTCATTGCAGCGTTATTTACAATAGCCAAGATATGGAAGCAACCTAAATGCCTATCAATAGATGACTGGATAAAGACGTGGTACACACACACACACACACACACAAATTGGAATATTACTACTTGGCCACAAAAAAGAATGAAATCTTACCATTTGTAACAATATGTATGGACTTAGAGGGTTTTATGCTAAGTGAAATAAGTTAGATAAAGACAAATACCCTATGATTTCAGCTATACGTGGAATCTAAAAAACAAAATAAATGAACAAGCAAAAGAGAAACAGACTCATAGATACAGAGAACTGGTGGCTGTCAAATGGGAAGGGGTTTGGGGGGCTGTATGAAAAAGATGAAGGGAAGTACAAATTGGTAGTTACAAAACAGTCATGGGGATGTAAAGTAAAGCACAGAGAACATAGTCAATAATATTATAATAGCTATGTATGGTGCCCAGTGGGTACTCGACTTATATCAGGGGGATCATTTTGTAAATTATATAAATATCTAACCACTATGCTGTATACCTCTGAAACTAATATTAAATGTCAACTGTAATTGAAAAGAGAAGAAAAGAAAGAGAAACAAAGAAGAAGGCACAATTCTCATCAAAGGAAAGTGGAAGAGAGGTAAGTAGACCAGCTCTTACATTTAATAGTATTTATTGAACATTATTATGTGTCAGACTTAGTGCAAAGCACTTCACAACTTTTATTGCATTTAATACTCAACACAACCCCATGAGGTCGATTTTATTATTATCCCCATACAAAGAATAAAACCTTGAGAGGTTCAGAGAGGTTAATTAATTTGCCCAAGGTCAAGAGAACTTTCTGGAGATTCCTGTAGCCTCTAAGTGGGGGACACTTGACTGCAGCCAGTAACTTTACTAGAATTCATCATCCCTCTCCACCTCCTGTAGGACAAAACTCTCTCTTTTGAAGTTCTCCACCTCGATAAATAGAGAAGTAGGTCTAACAAGCATACAGTCACTCAAATCAGAAACTCGGGATAACCCTCCATCTTTCCCCTCACATCCACTCAATCATTGAGGTCCCCCATAAATTTCTCTCCCACCTGTCCACTTCTCTGCGTTCCCGCCTCATTAGAACCCCCATTAGCTCTCATTAGAACCACTGTAGTTGCTGAGAGCCCAGGCTCTGCAACTTACTACCTGTGCAACCCTGGGCAAGTTACTTAATATCTCTGTGCCCCAATTTCATCTGTAAAGTGGGGATAATAATTAGAACACCGTTTGACACAAGATAAACACTACATAAAGTTAGAAACGGGGGACTTACAACTCGTAAGTCCCCTCGCCATTCTTCACGTAGTGGCGTGCAATTGTTGTTTTAATGCATTGCACTCAGAAATCTCTGGTTCACAACTTTCTAAATTCTAGTCAATATTTGTCATTTTTTAGTTCTTCCAAGACTGGGGCCTTTGCAGACGTCATTCCAGTCCAACTACATCTATTTGTGCTTCAAAAATGGGATTAAGAGTAACTTTTTTCAGGGATGCTTTCAGATCTCCAAGAATGATTAGCCATCTTGTTACATGCTTCTACAGTTCTCAACCTCAGACTTCTCCTGTGGAGACATTTGCCATGCTTAAAACGCATTATCCAATGTGTCTTTCCCACCAGACTATCCTCAGAGGACCAAAAGGTCTCCCCTGTTGGTTCTGGGCTGTAATCCCAAAGCTTAGCCCAGGTGGATAAATATCTACTGAATAAATCAAACGGGAATGAAGCAAAGTTAAAATTTCCCATGATGTTCCTGGACTGTTAAGAACCTCCCACATCATCATTCCTTATACCGCTTCCACAAATGTGGGCCTTTTGCTCTTCTTCCCAGTGCCTAGCCCCTTAATGTGGAGGCCCTTTTTAACCCCCCGTTTTTCCTAAGTGGCTTCTCCATAGGCATCTATGGTTACTAGTCACTCTCTCTTCAAATAGACCCAGCGGCCCAGCATCTCCCCTTCCCAGATGTCACAGGACTTCCTTCCTCCCTCGCTGACGCCTTCTCAGGTTCTACCCCCCAGGTGCCCATTATGCCTGCTCGCCTTCCCCAGGGCATCGCCCTATTTTATTTCTGCCCAGTCCACAGACCACCCGCCGGGCCCCACCTCCCAGCGGTCCACCTTCCGAAGCTGCCCTCACACCTTCCCACAAACCCAGACTCTGCCCCTGCCCCCGCCCCCAATTCCAGCCGGCAAAGCACTCTCCCCAAGACACACACACACCCCCCCTTCTATTGCCTCCCTCTACCCTAGGCGGCCCCATCCGTCCACTTGCTCCTTACCCCACCGTGCGTCCTCAGATACCCGGTCCACAGCTTCTTTTAGGCACCGTCCTCAGCTCCCTCTCCCCACCAACAGGGCTAGTTCCGGCCTCACACGATCCACCCCAATGCGTGGGGCCCTTCCCCACGGGCCCAGAGGACTCCTCCAGGGGCCGGTCACCTGTGCGCGACACCCCTGGGACACGTGTCCTTGAGCTTCTCTCCTTCCCGGCTTGGCCCGAAGGCCTCGCCCCATCCGTGGAGTTCGCGCTCCCTCCCGGCCCTCCACGGGTCCTGCGGACCCCCGGATCCCGGGCCTCCACCTCGTCCTCCCCTTCGCGCGCCCCTCGGACCCCCCACCCCCACCACGGGCTCCCTCGCCACATCCTCCGACAGCCCGGACCCCTTCCGGTACCACCCGCCCACGCAGCGCTTCCAGCCTTCCCGGGCCCGCGCGCGTGCTCCCGGCCCCCCGACCATCCTCCCAGCCCAACCTCCCCGAGCCCCGCGTGGCCTCGGGAGAGCGGCCCGGGAGTGAGAGGGGCTCCGCGGGGGCCGACGGGCTGCGGAGAGAGGCCGGAGGGCTCGGGGGAAGCGGCCGGGAAAGCCCCGGGCTCCTGGGAGGGGTCTGATCGGGGAGGCCCAGGGACTCCCGGAAGCGGCCGCGGAGGCTGGGGGTCACGGGGGGAGGCCGAGGGGCTCCGGGGAGCGGGCCGGGTGGCGGCGGGCGGCCTCACCGTCAGTCACGGCTCCCATGGCGTGCGCGGCGGCGGCGGCGGCGCAAGCTGAGGCGGCGGTTGGCGGCGGCGGAGGTCAAATTCCCACAATGCAGCCGGGTAAACAGCCATGGAGGAGGAGGCGGCGGCGCC